GGCCCAGGTCTGTTGGTCTGTTGGGGCGCTGAGCTTGCAAGCGCGTACTTCAGAGCGGCTCGTGCTCGCGGGCCAAACTGTGAACAACGCTCGTTCCAACTGCAGTTTCCTGCGGATGGGGCCCCCGCCCGACGTGCTGGCGCCAAGACGGCCCTGTGGGGGTGCACGTGCGGCTGCTGGGACAGCTGGGCGTCGAGGATCAAGTGCCGAGGCTGCGGGGCAGGCGCGCCGACCCGCGCGGTCAACGCCGCGAAGGCCGCCGCAGCTGTCCTCGTCCCTGCTGGTGGGAACCCGCGCGCGCCACGCGGAGCACGGGCCAAAGGGCACCACGCACGCCACTCACAGCTCGTGCAGAACACCGACATCATCGCCGACATCGTGTGCCCACGGGGCCGACACCCATGGTGCAGGCCCGTGAAACACCAGCAGGAGACGTGTCGGAGGAGACAGCAGGACACCGCCCAGGCCCACCAGCCTAGTCCAGCTCCCGGGACACCCCGGCCAGATCTCCTGAGATTTCCACGTCGTGCCTCTAGCTTCGCGTCAGCAGTGAACGCGCCAGTAATTACCCAACGACGCCCACCTGGACTCGCATGCCTCCGAATAGGCCTACGTCATATGGACCTACGCTCCCGTGGTGGTCGACTTCGTCAGGTACAGGCTCGAGCTCGCGCGACGACTCGCGGTGTTACCTGGTGAGCGCTTCACTTTCGGGGGTCGGGCGGTTAGGCGTCATCGTCGACACCGTCGACACCAGCGCCTGGACCAACCTCTGGGGCATGCGATTCGCCCAGAGTTTGGCCTGGCGAGCCATGCAGGCGAAACTCCAACCCTCAGAAAAGAAGTTGTCAACTCCACTGTGCGTGGCAGGAGTGGGCAACGGGTCACAGGTGGCGAATTGGGGAATTCACTGCCCCATCGCCACAACATCACGCGATGGTGTGACTACCCAGCGCAGCATGCGCGCTCTGGCCGTTGAGGACGCAGGCGACATTCTCCCTGCTCTGTTAGGTCTGCGACTCACGCAGTCCAACACCAGGTTGGTGGAGACAGACGTTAACCACAAACGCCCCATCTTCCCGGGGCCGGCGGCTACGAGGCAACTGGGGTCCAAGTACGATCGACTTGGAGTCAGCGCCGAGTGGTCACTAGTGCATTCCCGTCGACGCTTTCGGCAAACTCCAGCCGCGTTCCGGGGGCCTGCCGCCTAAGCAACTCACGCTGCCAGCGGTGGGCAACGACAGCCAGGATCACCGCGACGCCGATGGACGAGAAATGAACAAGATAACGGTCCAACTTCTCAGTCCGAATGCGAGAGCGCTTGCACGTAGCACCACTGGCTTGGCCGGGTACGACCTGCGCGCCAGCTCCGTCGCCACTGTCCCAACATATGGTGGGGAACTGGCACCCGCCGGCATAGCCGCGCTAGCGCCTTTGGGCACATGCATGCGTGCTGCCCCACGCCCAGGTCTCGCTCTCAAAGACATCGACATCGCAGGCGGCACGGATCCAAATGGGCCACCACGTCGCCCAGCTCATCCTGGAACGGTGCACCGACGATGCCGAGATCGTGGTCGCCCCCAGCGTACCCCCATCGTCTCATGGAACAGGTGGTTCTGGACATACCGACCTCAGCCGCGACGCCATCCCGAGCGATGCGGCCAGTCCGACTTCCACGGGTCAGATCGGCACCTCTGGTGCCGATTGCCTTGGGGGGGCGGCACGCTTGGAAATTGCCTGGCCGGCCCGCCAGGCTGGCCCTGCCGACTCGCTCTGGCAGAAATGGGCAGCCGGGCCAGGACGTCCCGCCTGGGTCTTAGCTCGGGGAAGGGACACATCACAGGTGCTTGTGGACCACGGCTTCGACGTCGTCCGACCTGCCGATTTCGAGGGCGCCGTCAGATCGCTGGCCGATCGATTTTTCCCCAGCGCAAATTGCAGCGCGCTGTGGATCACGTGCGACACGAGCAGGGATGAGGTTCACAGCATCCTCAATTTCCCGCCCGACTGGTGCGCCAGGGTCCAGGACGCCAGCGCCAGGACCGCGATACTCGGCCGGCGCGTGCCCTCGGTGGAGACGCCCAGACGTGACGCCGATGACTGACATGCACATGCAGGCGCTGCATGCAATCAGTTGCGCAGATGCGGCGCCCTGCTGGAGAGGCCCACCGACGACTTGACGACCGCGCTCCGACCTGAGTTCTCAAACCTGACGTGCTTCGAGGTCACGCGACTCGCGCCCTGCTGCGGCTGCGCTTCAACCCCCCTCCTCCCTCCTCCCTGCGTTTCACCCACCCAGTACAGCGCTTCGTGGCCCCATAGGGAGCTCCACCGAAGGCCCCAGTGCCACCCAGTACAGCGTTTCGTGGCCCCATAGGGAGCCCCACCGAAGCCACCAGTGGGACCGCCCGCATGCGTCCCACACGCCCAATTTGGCATTTTCACCCGCCCAGTACAGCGCTTCGTGGCCCCATAGGGAGCTCCACCGACGGCCCCAGTGCTACCGCCCGCATGCGTTCCCCCCACCCAGTGCAGCGCTTCGTGTTCCCATAGGGAGCATCACCGAAGAAGATATTCACAATTGCGGTACCCACAACTGCATATGATCGGGTCCTTCGCCTGGAGAATTAAGGAACAGCCCTGCCATCCTTCTAGCGAGGTAAGGCATGCAACAAGGTAGCCGTCATAGAGCCCAACAAGATATTGAGCGCGAGCGCTCCTTTTTGAAACGAGCCGCCCCCTTGCCGTGCAATGGGCGCACAAGTTGGCACGTCTGGCCATTCCGCTCGAGGAAGCCCCACGCGAGAGCCCCAGCTTGCAAAAGGAGCCGCCCTCCACGCGTGCAGCCGTTGCACGTGCTCCATATTCTGCGAGTTCCATGTGGGAGCCCTCCATTTGGACGTGGGGCCGCCCTCCGTCCTTGAAGCCAGTTGGAGCATGGCGAGACGAGCGTGTTCGGTGCCACGGCGAGAGCCCCATTTACGGCAACGGCTGGCCGTTGCTGCAATTATGAAAGCTGAGTGTGCACGGCGCTACGGCGAGAGCCCCATTTTGAAAAACGTGCCGCTCTCCGCCCTCGTAGGCGTTGCAGAATTTGGGACGAAGGCGCCGCGGCGCGGTGCGGGTGATGGGAGTTTCAGGCGAAGCACCTGGGCCGGCATACGGGCACGTCCAGTCGGCGCGGCTTAGCGAAGTTGCTTGCCAGGAAGGGGGTGGTGGAGTAGGACGAGGGGGAGGGGGAGGGGGAGGGGGGGAGAGGGGGAGGGGGAGGGGCGGGAGGCAAGCTAGGTGCGCTCGCGTCATATCATGACATCCTACCCCTCCCCCCCATCCCTTACCATGGCGCAGATCCCCTCTCTACTCGCTCAGTCGGATGTCGAGCAGGGCAATGATGGGTACGCGATGCATTGTAGAGCACGGCATGGCATGGCGTAGAAGAGCACCGCAAAGCGTAGTATCAACCTAGGATTGCAGTGCATGCCGTGGCATGGCACGGGAAATGACGCCAGCGCTGCAGCGGGAGCAGGAGTCGAAACGAGCGGAAGCGCGGAAATGAGGCAGGCGCTGCAGCGGGAGCACGATTCGGAACGAGCGGAGCCACGGAAGTGAGGCCAGCGCTGCAGCGGGAGCACGATTCGGAACGAGCGGGGCCCGAAAATGAGGCCGGCGCCTCAGCGAGAGCAGCATTTTGAGAAACAGATGCAGGCGAAAACCCAATTCTGGGGAAACCTGTGTGTAACAAAAACAGTACGCGGGGGGGGGTCGGACACTCCCAGGCCGTCATCAGGGGAAGAGGGAGAGTAGTATTCATATTGAGTAATTGTGGAGAGGAGGATGAGGAGGATGAGGAGGAGGCGGCGGAGGAGGAGGAGGAGGCGAAAGCGGAGGCGGAGGCGGAGGCGGAGGGGGGGCAGGGGGAGGGGGGGCGGCAGTCGGAGCAGGAGCAGGAGGGGGATGAGGAGCGGGCGGAAGAGCAGGAGGACGAGCAGGAGGAGGAGCAGGACCAGTGTAAATCCAAGGCTCATCAGCGACGTTGCTGTAAACCCTCCCTCCAAGCTCCCTCTCCACAGGCCCCCGCAAGGATTAATTTCCACCGAGGGAAGCGCCCCCTTGGAAGACAAACGTGAGGAGGAGGAACAGAAGCAGCAGCAGGGGCAACATGAGGAGGAGGAGGAGGAGGAGGAGGAGGAGGAGGAGGAGGAGAGGCAGCAGGAAAATGAATACGATGGTCGGAGGAGCAGGAGAAGGTGGAGGAGGAGCAGCAGCATCAGCAGCAGAAGCATATGCAAGTGGAGGGACATCCAGAAAAGGAAGGCAAGCATCAGTGACAGGAGGGATTTGGAGGAGCAGGCTCGATCGGAGGCGGTGGATGGGAGCGTGGGGTACGAGTAATGCAAGGGATGGGAAGGATGAAGGAGGAGGAGGAGGAAGAATAATAGGACTACGCCGACGGAGAGGATGGATTTTAAGGTGCAACAGTAGCGGCCTGAAGAGGAGGAGGACCATGAGAAGCAGGAGGAGGAGCAGGAGCAGCAGCAGCAGTAGAGGCAGCAGCAGCGGGAGCAGGAGGGGCAGTCGAAGGACGGCCACGAGAAGCAATAGCAGGAGCAGCAGCAAGAAGACGAGGATGAGCGCGAGGAGATGGGAAGGATCGCCTCCAAAAGATGAGGACAGTAGTAGGTGCAGCCACACGTTTGAACTCGATCTGGCTAGATTTTCTTTAGTGGACGTTGCGCGATGCTTGGGGGCGTACACGCGCTCGCGTTTGAAGGGAGCTGTCCAAGCGAGGCGCCCTCTTGCATCCGCAGAACGTCGCTACAGCGCGTACTTTTAGTCAGCAGTGTAATTCGCATGGTACGCAAATACATGGTCATCACGTTTTCCGGCTTGCGCGGAGAAGGCGTGCTCACGTTTGAAGATGGCCGTTAGCCGTTTCTTGTCGGATCGGCCCCTCCGCCTGCGCGAATGTACGAGCCGCACTGCTGGCATTAGCAGGTTGCATGCCCCCGTGCAGCTACGGGCACGGGCACATCTGTCCGGGCGCAGGCCATTTCTCCAGCGTGGCGTGCAGGCCAAGAGATGCACGGATGCACGGAACAGTTTGCCCAGAGCTCGCGCACCAGAGCGCTCGACGGCCTGCCTGCGTCGCGCCACAAACGCCAGGAGGGGTCGAGCTGCGGCCTCGGCCGCTGCCCACCATCGGGCGAAGAGAACTATACACATGCACCGATCCTGGCAAGGCCCGTCCTTGCCCCAGGATCGGTGCATATACCTTCCTGGCCAAGGAAGCGGGCGTATGCACTGCTCCTGGGCTCAGGATGGGCCTGGCCAGAATCGGTGTATGTGCATAGTTCTTTTACCTCTACACCAGATTGAGCCGTCATGTTCCGCGGACGACACGTGTGCACCGTACCGCGCTGGCGCCTCGCGGGGCGCCTTCGATCCTCGGCCTGGGAACGGCGATGGGCATGTTGCGAACGAGCGATGTTTATCTCTCTCTGTCAAGGGCGCCCTCGAGGGCGTTATTCGCGCTTCGCGGTTCGGCTCCGATTCCTCCTCACCTTCCACTTCTCCCCTGGGAGGCGGCGCGAGAGCGCGAAGTTATTCGCACTTCGCGCAGCGCAAAGCGCCAAGTTGGGAGCCCTTGCTCTGTACGGGGACCAGCTGAGCCAGGGGCTTCCGGGGATCCGACGGACTGGCGAAAGCCTAGGATAAGAAGTCAGCATACAATCACAACCATTTTGACAAGAGACGAAACAATCTTTCTCCAGCGAGAGCAGCAGTGTGCGTCGTCTGACCCTGGGTTCTGTCAAGGCATCAGTGAAGGCCTCACTGAAAGCCTCTGGTGCCGAGGGCCCTCGGTACCTGACCTGCAGCGCCCCACATCACCGTGGGGCGAGACAAAACAAAACCACACTAGAGGCCAAATGCCCCCTGCTGGCCTGCACAGGCCCAAGCACCGCAGGTGCCAGGGTGGGAGGGATGGGTAAACCCATAGATATGAACCTTAACTAAATCGTACCCCTCTTTCAAGCTCGGCTCAGGTGTTGCATCCCCCCGTTAAGATACTGAAATCCGAAAGGGCAGGCCTTCACGATGTGCAATGTGCACAACACTACTGTACCTTGAGCTTCTGCGTCTGCTCGAGGCTTTCAGCCCCGATGGCGGGCGGCCCACCTCGGGCCTCATCACGTTGCTGCTCACCACTCCCAGGTCGACGGCGTCACCCTTAAGCTGATCGAGGGTGGCCACGAGGCGCACGGCGAAAGGGGAGTTGGCGGCAGGTGAAGTACGAATCGCGGCAGCCATAGCGTTTGCAGGGGATGTCCAGAAATATTCACCAACAATACTATGTTGCCGCTGAAGTTATGAACGACGTCGTATGAGCACACGCGTTTTCGTATATCTTTGAAGTGTTGAAGCCGTATTCCACCGTCCACGTCGCCTAGCATATTATATGTCACCATTGTTTGCCACAATGTGTGCTGCTCTTGGGTGTCGTATACCATGTGGTGACCCCGTGTGCGCAATATCCAAAAACTCTAGAGTTGTGTTCCATTGCCTGCGAAACTTGTCCGTCGTCAGTGGGAGGACCTGCTCATAAGAATTCTGTCATTTGACCATCTTCTTCAGTATAGCCTTGGTCAGGGCGAACTCGATGTGGGCGCCTTGACCCGAGCTTGTCTTTACCTTCTCACCACGAGCTCGGTCTCCCCGCGTAAGGGCAACACAATATCGCAACTGTCGAAGCAAATATCACAACGCCTGAGAATCGACCAATCTTGTTCACGCAGCCACCCATCTAGTTGAACCACCGCAGCACATGTTTGATGGACAGCTTCCATCTCCCATAACTGTTGGATGATCAGCCCCATGGCTTGGAATGATCTGGGTTCTCGTTCTTGTATAGTCCGTTGTCGCCACCATGCCTTCAACGCCCGAGCTAGTAATGGTAAGAAGTTGCAATGATCCTCAAAAAAACTGCATGAACTCGTTCATCAGATAAGGACCTCTGGAAAAGCCAAGCTCCCTGACGTAGCACATGTCCGAGAGCTATGAAGCGAGCGGCCCTCATGGGAGGTGAAAAACAGACGGCCATGACGTTTTAAGTCCATTAAGAATTCACGAACCGCCTTTTCAAATCCAATGTTGGTGATATCGTCTACTGCATAAACTGATGTCGTCTACTGCATAAACTGTAAGTCGGTGATTGTACTTCAGAGGGGACCCCTTAGCATCCTCCCAAGCCAGTGCCCCTTTCTTAGCCGGCGGAGGAGCTCTCGATGTCTGCCTGGCCCCACTCGCCAGCTGCGTACACGAAAGCCGAACCACCATCCACCAGAGGGGCCGAGCGCGGCTGCCTGCCTGGAGCGGTTGCGAGGAGAAGTTGCCCAAACCTCAGCTCGCCCTCAACTGGCGAACACGCACCACACCGAAAAGGACCAGCGCTCAAGGCGTCGTCGTAGCACCCGACCCCGTAGTCGAAGACGAGTTGGTCATTCTCGCGCTCCTTGCCGTGCCTCTCGAATCGAAGAAGGAGCGGACCAGCTTCGGGGTATACTTCCACCGGTGCTCCTCCTTGGTCGCCTCCGCTGCCCCAACGGTAGACCCCGACTGGGGCCATCGGCTACGTTGTCCGAGGCCACCCAGCGCAACACCAGCTTGATGCCGCAGACGAGGAGCACCGCTGCCGCCTGTCTTGCCAGGTGTAGTAGCCCTGCTGCCGACGACCTCCCCTTCATCAGGACCCTCAGGGAGACCAGCGAGTCGCTGAAGACTAGAGCCCGCTTCCGCCACATCTTCGTCGACCTCGATGCGTGTCTGAACAGGCCCACGATGGTCCGCAACTCGAGGATGTTGTTGTGCTCGTCCTTCTCCCACTTCCCCGAGCAGAGCGGAAACCACCTCCTTCTCGTCCGTCCACATTCTGCCCGCAGCCAGCGCCTGACCACGAGCCCTCACCACGTGGAGCCTGCCCCTTGAACGTCTCGCTTCCGTACCAACCAGGGGTAAGAAGCTACCAGTCTGGCTATATTGCGCAAGCCTAACGGCCAGTGCCGCCGACCCTGAAGACGGCGACGACGACGTCGTCGTCTTCGTCTTCGTCGTCGTCGTTGTCGCCCTCGTCGTCCTTTTCGTCCTCTTCCTTCTCTTTCTCCTCCTCTTCGTCGTCGTCGTCGTCAGCCGCTTTGGGCTGCTAGGGGGTTTTTGTCGCCGAGGGCTCGTTGGGCCTCCCGTCTTGGGCACCCTGTGGAAGAGTCTTGCAAGTCTGGGGTCTCTTGGAGGTCTCGTGGAGAATTCCTGGGGACTTGGGCTTCCGGGACCGCGCAGGGGTTCCGGGACCGCGCGAGGGCTGCGGAATCGCGCAGGGGGATTTGGGTGGCGACCCTTTTTGGGACCCCCCCCTGCGCGGGGAAGGGATCAAAGGGAAGGGGCTTCCTTTCAATTCCACTCCTTCTGTTGTTCAATTTTGCTCTGGACGGCGCGTATGAGGAATAGGGCCCAGGCAAATGGAACAGAGGAGGGCGGAGACGACGACTCCAACGCAAAACCCGACTCCAACGGAAAAGCTCCTCACACACGCCGACAGGGTCGGCGGATTTTCTTGCACGGGTCGTAGTCGAAAGATGTCCAGTCGGCGCCGACGTGACCCTTTGGCTTAAAACCTTCGCTGGTCAGAGTGCAGAACACCTTCTCGTTGGTCAGTATGCGGATCTTACTCTTCCCCATCTCCACGCCGATGTTGACGACCTCCACGCGCTCCGTGAGTTCGTGCCAGAAGCCGACGTCGGCGTCCTCCACAAGAGTCATCACGAACGACAGGCCCAAAGAGCCACATAGCTTGGCTAACTGGAGACGCACCGACCGCGTGAGCTCCGTACGCGACTGTATCAAATGAACAAACCACCACCACGGTCGCTTCAATATGGAGAAGAGCCTCTCGAGGTCCTTGATGTCGTAGATGTCGTATTCGACGCCTTTCGTGAAGCTGCTGGAGACATGAGGAAGATGTCTGGGCTTGACACGAGCAACTCCAGCGGCCAACTCCAGAATCCTTGGTCGACCTAGGGCTGGCGCGATCGTCTCGTCGTCCTCCTCCCCAGCCCTCCCCGCCTCCTCTTCGATCTCCTCGAAAACCTCCGTCGCCCGCACGCTGCAAGTCCCTTTTGGCGGTCTCGTCCCTGCACTCCTCGCTGCTCGTGGCGGTCTGGACCACCCCGTACCCGAACTCCGACGCGTCTGTCATGTATGCCTTAGCCAGCCACTCCGTCTCCAAGTCCGGCTCGAAGTACACTGAGAGCGACGCCAGGCAGATGAGCTCGGACATAACGCACTTGGGCAACGTCTGGGACCCGCCGTTCCCGTGCGCTACCTCGTTCAGCCACCGCCTCCAACACAGCGAAGCCAGGCTTCGCGAGCATGAGGACCCACGACCACAAACACCTCGGTAATATATCCTTCCACCATTGACTTCACCACCGTAACGATCCCCACCTTCTCCTTGACCTCCTTCGTGTAGGTGAGCATCCCCGCCTGCCACGTCTTGAGCCCCAACTTCAGCCGATTGAAGGGAAGCTCCACCCAGCGTCGGTGAAGCTCGACGTGGCATCGTTCTTCACCCAGTCGACCTCGTCGTGCGTCCTCTGCATCAGCCCCTCCACATCGAGCAGGTACGGCAACGCCGTCGGTGACAGGTCTGCCACCTTCAGGCCCTTCGTCCCCGCCGCTGGGACCGACACCTCCTCCGCCACCATGTCGCACAGGTCCCCCCTCTTGAGCACACCAAGACGCTGCTCCTTCACATTCCTCCTCTCGTAGCCACTCAGTTCGCCACCAAGACGGCTGAAAATCGCCCTGCCAACGGCAATGCCCCCCTCCTCCACAGCTCCTTCACGATCATGATCTGGATCGGCGTGGCCCTCCTCCAGGTAGCATAGGTGGCCGTCAGGCGAAGCTCCTCGCCGACCTTCACGTGCCCCTTCGCCAAGCATCTGATGCTCGCTAGAGCCCGCTCCAGCCTCCGCTACGTCACCCTCAGCTCCTTCTCGTCCGCCTCCTGGAACGGCACCTCCCAGTAGAACTCGTTCTTGTTGTCGCAGGCGACCCCAAAGGTCGACCACGGAAGGCATCGAAGGGGATCCCCTTCTTTCTCGTCCGAAGAACACCTCGGCATCGTCCCGATGATAAACATTGCCTCGCCAGAATCTATCGGCACTAATATACACAGAGCAGGGCCAACCGATCATGATCAGCACCATGCAAAGGTGGATGGCGAGCACGCGCTTTCCCCTCGTAGCAGACCTGCACCTCCGAAAACCCAAGAAAGCAACGCTACACGGACTGCTGAGATATCGCATTAAGGGCTGGCGTGGCTAAGGGTTGTTGTGAGACCCTCAGCCGCAAACATATTCGTCCGCATGCCCCTTGTCCACGACCACAGTCGAATGCTTAGCGATCGTGGCCTTCTTCCTCAGACGCTCTGCCACCTCATCATCCGTTGCCTCCACGGACCTGTTCGACCCATCCCCGATCTTCAAGAACTCCTCACCGCAGCTTCAGTTCACCGTGCTCTTCCACGTGGCACCGTTCATCGGCGGCGAGCGAGGGGGGGACGTGAGAAGGAGAAGGCTTTCTCAGAAGTTGGCGGGACTTCTCAGAAGTCCTCGCGCCTTCTGAGAAGTGTTTTCTGTATTCGGAGAAGGTGCAGGAAACTTCTCAGAAGGCCAGGGGATTTCCGAACTTTCTGAGAAGGCTTTCTCCTTCTCACTTCCCCCCCGCTCGCCGCCGAGTTCGATAGAGCACTTGGTCAGATCCTTGTCCTTCAACCACTGCGCGATCTCCGATTGGGCCGATCGGCCATGCTTGTGCACGCCAGGCAAGATGCTCGGCGCAACCCTGGCCTTCTCCCCCCCCGATCCTCGCGCCAGGGACGTCCTTGTAGCTCTTGATCGTCGCCAGAAGGGCCTCCTTGGGTATCTGCGCTTCCTCCATCAACTGGTCGAGCGTTTCCTTCACCGTGGAATCACTTGGCGTCGATACCTTGTCCCACGAACTCTGCGACGTCGGCGTAGTGCAGCCACCTCACCTAACCCTCGCCAAATCAGCCTGCACCACTTCCTCGTGCTCCGCCAACTTCGCCCGAAACCGATCCTCTTTCGAAGCATATTGGGCCACCGGTGGCTGCGAGGGGGCTTCATCTGAGAAGCTGATATTCTTCCTCGGGTCTCGGGCTGTACCTCCTTCTCCTTCGTAGTAATGGCGTCAGCCAGCGTCGCGATGCTGTGCTGTAGGTGCTGCTGGCCCCTCGACAGCTCCGCGAACAGGTGCCTGGCATCGGGCTCGTCGTCCGAGTCGGCCATTCTGCGTTTCTTGGATCAGCTCCCCGTCTGAGCCGGAGTCGCTGCCCGCCTCGGAGCCCTCCGCCACCACCTTGTAACCCCGCTGCGAGAGATGGAGGCCCGCCAAGACGGTACCATTTGCCATCCAGATGTTCTCCAGCTCGCCTCACTCCCACATGTCCTTGACGCTCTCGTACCACGACTGTGCTTGCTCCGTAGCATCATTGATGCTCTCGAGCGTCTCGCATATCTTCGTAAAGACTGCACCTAGACCGAAGAACTTCCTCACACGCCATCTGATAAAGGCCCCCCCGCGATGACTGAGCCTCCCATTCGATTCAACCAGAAGTATCTGCCCACGTTGATGATGCCACCCACGACCCACCACAGGAAAGCTATCTTTCTTGGAACTCTTCCTCGCTTTGGCAGGGATCTTTCCTTGGCGGTGGCTTGGTCTTGGCACCGACATCGTCCATCTCATTACGTGCAGCCAGCTTCTCGCTGGCTGCGACAACTTTGTCTCGACAAGCTCCTGAAAGACCAGGGTGCTCTGTCCACGTATACTCATTATTGGGCTTGTCGAAGACCTTTGACTTGTCTCTCAGGTTAATCGTTAATCAATTGCACTCGAAGAGTAGGATCACATGCAGTCCAAACCGTCGAAGAGGTATTCCCAACTTCTTATCAAGGGCATACATACTCCTGAGCCCGCATACGTTCTGTAGTACACCCGATTTCAGCGTGCCCATAGAACCATCACGCCTGCCTTAGTCCCCTCCTGGAGACCGTCCTTTACAGCGCTGTCGTCAAAGTAGCCGTCGTAATCGTCCTGCCCTGCTGCTGAGACGAAGCTGGGGAACGCCTGACCCTCCTCACTCAGGTCATCCGCCTGCCACCCGAGCAGGCCCGCTACGAAGTACCACGCGAGCCGAAAAGGCTCATGCACGGGCGCGCGCGCCCACCACCCGCTGTGGAGAGTGTTTCTTGATTGCTTCGGGCATGACGGGCGTCATGGCCTCCCCCCCCCATGTAACGCTCCCCCCCAGTGCGCTCCGGACAATGCCGCCGTGCGCATCGGGATCCGCATAGGTGTCCGCATCGGATTTGCATAGGAGTCTGGTCCGCAGTCGTCGTCGTCGTCGCCGCCGTCGTCGTCGGCGTCGTCGTCATCGTCGGCGGCGTCGTCGTCGTGGTCGTCGTCGTCGTCGTCATCGTCGTCGCTCGTCGTTCGTCGCTCGTCGCTCATCGTTGTCGTGCGCGCGGACGCGGCTGGAGACTGTTTTTTTATTCCAAGCCGATGACGGCAATCATGTGGGGGGGGTTGGAGGTCGAGGAGGCCGATGACTTCACGTGTCGCGCCGGCGGCGTCTGGGAATGCCCAAGAATGATTGAAGACGGGTAGCAGCAGCATTAAGGTGGCGATCTGCACCACAGCGCTTGTGTACACCACACTGCCTGTGGGCACCACAGCGCCTGTGTACACCACGCCGCCTGTGTACACCACAGCAGCCGGGTGCAACACAGCGCCAGTGTGTGCCACAGTGCCTGCGGGCACCACAGCGCCTGTGTACACCACAGCGCCTGCGTACAGCACATCAGCCGTGTGCAGCACAGCACCAGTGTACACCACAATGCTTGCGTGCACTACAGCGCCTGTGTACACCACGGCGCCGGTGTGCACCACAGCAACCGTGTGCAACAGAGCACCATTGTCGCATATAGAATTAGAGAAGGAATCCTTATAACAGAATGGAGCGCCTGTGGATTCCACAGAAAACTCTCCTTGTCTTAGGATTTGGAACGGACTCTTATTGGAAAAAGGAGCGCCCCTGGAATCTACGACTCCTCCCGAGTCCGCCCGCACCATTTTAACTCTTCCCATGTGCGCCCCGGAGGCTCCAGCAAGATTGGCCGTCCGAGAACCAAGTGGGCTGATCCAATAGACCGTTCGACGGTGCACGCTGATATGCGCACGTGCGCTGCAGCGCCGACCCACGCGACAGGGGGGAAACGTGAGGGAGGAGGAGGTGGAGGAGCAGGAGGAGGAGGAGAACGGAGTAGGAGGACCAGGATGAGGAGGAGGAGGAGGAGGAGGTGGCGGTGGCGGTGGAGGGGGCGGAAGAGGGAGGAGGCAAAAACGTCGCATTTAATTATCACCACTTCCTTGGCGTGGCGTTCTGCTGTCCGCAGCAGATCTTCACCTACATGCTCCTTCTACTTGTTCTGTGCACGCAGGCGCTGTGGTGTACAGCGCTGCGTTGCACGCGGATGCTGTGGTGTAAACAGGCGCTGTGGTGTGCACGGGCGCTGCGGTGCACGCAAGCATTATGGTGTGCACAGGGGCGGTGTTGCACATGGTTGCTGCGGTGTACACATTCGCTGTGGTGTACACCGGCGCTGTGGTGCACGCAAACACTGTGGTGTGCACAGGCGCAGTGTTGCACACGGCTGCTACGGTGTACGCAGGCGCTGTGGTGTACACGCGCGTTGTGGTACACGCGAGCATTGTGGTGTACACGGGCGCTGTGGGGCAGATCGCCACCTACATGCTGCTCGCGTCGTCGTCGTCGTCGTCGTCGTCGTCGTCGTCGTCGCTTGCCGCTCGTCGCTCGCCGCTCGTCGCTCGTCGCTCGTCGCTCATCGTCGTCGTGCGCGTGGGTGCGGCTGTGGTGCCGGAGCCACACGGCGGGGGGGGGGCGTTACGTCATACCCCCCCGCCCCCCCTCCCCCCACATGACGCCTGTCATCGCCGAAAATGTAAGAAAAAACGCTCTCGTGCTGGGCTCGCAGGTTGTATAGACGAACTCTCTCAACCCTTCGAGCCGAAACATTAGCGCGAACACGCGAGAGCGAGAACGAGAGGGAGCTGGAAGGGGACGGCTTATGTATGGGGGGTACATAGCTAGATAAAGTGCGTGCTGAAAACATGTGCACCCGTACCTAAGGGGGGGCGGACGGGGCTATGGGTGCGTGTTGTCGGGTAGGATTCCCCGCTCGAACGGGAGCCCCCCACGGGGTCCGACACCCCGCGCCCTTATCCATAGCCAGTCCTACTCCTTCCGACCCCCTTACGGGTATGGGTGTGTGTGTGTGTGTGTGTGTTGTTCGCTCGTCAGCATTGTTTCTCGGCCCCTAGAGCCGAAACAACTGTGCACCGCACCGCGCTGGAGCGGGGCCTGAAGGAAGTCCAGACATGGTACGGTGCATGGGCGCCGTTCTTGTACACTTGGGTCTGCCAGAAAGTTCTGGAATGGTGCTGGGGCCAGCATGGTGCACCCTGGGACTTCCAGGCCATACTCCGACAGCTGTTGACGCTTCGCGTATCCCCGCAAAGCAGAAAGCCCATCCATAAGCGATCGCCAGACGAGTTGCCCGATCAGGGAAGTGCAGAAGCATGCAGTGGGACGCTTCGAATGATCCATGTTTGTGTCTTCTTGGTATCAGTTCGGGGTCGTCTAAGGGCTCTCTCGGGGCCCTCTTGGGAATCAGCGAGGAGGAGGAAGAGGAGGAGGAAGAGGAGGAGGCGGGCGAGGAGGACGACGACCAGGGCAAGAACATGCAAGAGCGAGACTGAGGAGGAGGACTAGGAGGAGAAGGAGGATGACGACGAGAAGATGAAGACGAGGACGAGGACGATGACGTGGAAAACGAAGACGAAGAGTAGGATGAGGAGGAAGAGGAGGAGGAGGAGGAGGAGGAGGAGGAGGAGGAGGAGGAGCAGGACAACAAGGAGGAGAACTCCTGAAGCCAACCAGGAGTCTTCTTGGGGCCCTCTTCAGGCTGTCGTTGGGCCCTCTTACGGCACTATTGTGGCCCTCGTGGAAAGTTCCAGGGTACCCATGGGGTTCTTGTGAAGTGTTTTGGGGCCCTCTTGGGGTTGGGGAGCCCCAGAGGGCCTCGTGGAGCCATTTTGTAGGGCGTCGGTCAGTAGAGCGGGAGTTTTAGATGCGCTTCTCCCCTCAGGAACGCTCATCAGCCATGTTGGTGCGCTCTTGAGGCTGCTTGGGGGACTCGTCGGCCCTTCTTGGGGCTCTCGTGGGCCATCTTGGGGCCATATTGGGGCCTCAGAAGACCATCGAACGCGAAAAGGCGAGATGGCACAAATCATTGACGTTGAGTGATTTATCCCGTAACCTAAGATGGGGCTCTTGCTATATGTCTCTCACCGCGCTGGAGAACCTCACTTCTTTTTTAAGTCCTCCTCCTCCGCCTCCTCCTCCTCACTCAGCACACTCAGACTCAGACGCACTCAAGACGCATTCATCATTCAGACTCAGCCCCCCAGATTCACTCATGCTCATAATCATTCACACACGCACAGACTGTGAGGATGTCCCAGGCGAGGCGCTGGTTTCAGCATTCCCCCGGGGGGGGGAGGCGGGGGGGGGTCTTCATTTCGCGTCCAGATTGTGGGGGGGGTCTCATGTGGTTTGCTTGTTTGCGTGCGCAATTCCTCTGCATTCGGAGCAGATTGTGAGGATGTCTCAGGCCAGGTGCTGGTTTCAGCACTGCCAGGGGGGGGAGGCGACAGGGGGGTGTTCCACGTGCCCGTTCGGGCCCTGATCGTGGGGATGTCTCCCGCGATTTGCCTGTTTGCGTGCCCAACATTCATTACGTTCGATCAGTTTGTGAGGATGCCACTGGCGAGGCGCTGATTTCAGCACTCCCAAGTGCCCCAGATTGAGAGGATGCCTCTGGCGGTTTGCATAGATTCGGGCGAGGCTCCAGGAGGCCCCAGGAGATTCCAGGAGGCCCCAGGAGGCTCCAGGAGGTCCCAGGAAGTCCAGGAGGCCCCAAGAGATTCCAGGAGGCCCCAGGAGGCCCCAGGAGGTCCCCAGGAAGCTCCAGGAGGCCCCAGGCGGCACCAGGAGGTCACACGAGGCCCCCAGGAGAGCCCAGGAGACCCCAGGAAGCACCAGATGCTCCAGTGGGCCTCCTGGGCTCGACTCCTGAGTTTCTTACGTATGTTCCTATACGTTGCCCCTTTCTTGGGGCTCGAGCCTTACGTGCTTTACGCATGTTCCCGTAGATTGCCTCTCGTGGGGCTCGAATTATGATGCTTTGCTTCCTGTACACTGCCCCTCGCCTGGGGCTCGAATACTTTGTGTTTTACGTATGGTCATAAAGATTGCCCCTCTCTTGGGGCTCGAGATTTGCGTGCTTTACGCATGTTCATATAGATTGCCCATCTCCTGGGGCTCGAATCCGACGTAAGTGTTTTACGTCGGTTCCTGTAGATTGCCCCTCTGCTTAGGCTTGAATGCAATGTGTGTTACGTATGCTCCTATAGTTTGTCCGTCTCTTGAGGTTGTAATCCTACGTGTTGTACGCGTGTTCCTCTAGATTGCCCTTCTCCTGGGGCTCGAATCCCACGTGTTTGCAGATGTTCATATAGATTGCCCCTCTGGGGCTCGAACCCCATGTGTTTGACTTCTGTTCCCCAAGGGGCCCAGATTGCGAGGATGGTTCAGGCGATTTGCTTGTGTCGGTGAAGTCCCAGGCGGGCCCAGGAGATCCCCTGAGGCCCCAGGAGGCTCCAGGAGGCCCTAGGAGTTACCAGGAAGCCCCAGGAGGCCCCAGAGCCGAATTCTATACCCCCGGGCCATACCCTGGTTGGACGGGCTATACCCCAGCAGAGTTGGGTTACTCCCTGGCTGAAGCATCAACAGACCGTAGAAAACCAGACCCCAAACATTAAACACCACCAAATACCGAACCCCAAACAACAAACATCAAACCCCAAACCCCAAAACCTAAACACCAAACACCAAATTTCAAACCCCCCAAACACCGAACACCAACCACCTCCAAATCCCAAACACCAAACATCAACCACCAAACCCCAAACGCCAAACACCAAACCTCAACACCAAACACCAAACCTCAAACCTCAAACACCAAACCCTACGACCCAAACACCAACCACGAGGGGGGAGGGATGCTGAGGATGGGAGGGAGGTGAGACGAGGAAGGAAAAAGGAGGGGTGAGGATGAGGATGACGATGATACTGATGACGATGGTGATGTTGATGCTGGCGATGATGCTGATGCTAATGGTGATGGTGATGATGATGATGATGATGGCGATGACGATGATGCTGATGATGATGCTGGCGATTATGATGGCGATGCTGATGAGGATGATCAGGATGAGGATGAGGATGAGGATGAGGATGATGATGATGATGATGATGATGATGATGATGATGATGTGCTGATGATGGTGACGCTGATGATGACGATGATGGTGCTGCTGATGATGATGATGGTGATGGTGGTGGTGATGATGATGATGATGATGAGACTGGCGATACCGATACTAATGATGACGCTGATTATGACGAGTACGATGTTGATGACGATGATGGCGATGATGATACTGGAAATGATGATGATGATGATGGTGATGGTGATGATGGTGATAATGGTGATGATGCGGGCGATGATGATGATGATGATGGTGATGATGATGACGATGATGGTGATGATGCGGGCGATGATGATGATGATGATGATGATGATGATGATGATGATGATGATGATGATGGTGGTGGTGGCGGTGGTGGTGGTGGTGATGAGGCTATTGATAGTGATATTAATGCTGTCGATGATGACGATTATGATGCTGATGATGATGATGATGCTGATGATGATGATGCTGGCGATGCTGATGATGGTGATGCTGATGATGATGATGATGGTGCTGATGATGCCGATGATGATGATGATGATGCTGGTGAAAATGATGTTGACGAGGCTGATGATGGTGATGATGTTTCTGATGATGGTGATGATGCTGATGATGATGGTGTTTGTGGTGGTGATGTGGATGATGACAATTATGTTGGTGTTGTCGATGATGGTGATGATGATACTGACGATACTGATACTGATGATACTGATGCTGATGATGATGATGATGGTGAGGGTGGTGACGATGATGACGAGTCGATGATAATGATGATGATGATGGTGATGATGATGACGATGATGGTGATGATGCGGGCGATGATGATGATGATGGTGATGATGGTGGTGGTGGCGGTGGTGGTGGTGGTGATGAGGCTATTGATAGTGATATTAATGCTGTCGATGATGACGATTATGATGCTGATGATGATGCTGATGACGCTGATGATGATGCTGATGATGATGATGATGCTGGCGATGCTGATGATGATGATGATGATGCTGGTGAAATGCTGATGACGAGGCTGATGATGGTGATGATGTTTCTGATGATGATGATGATGCTGATGCTGATGATGATGGTGGTTGTGGTGGTGATGTGGATGATGACAATTATGTTGGTGTTGTCGATGATGGTGATGATGATACTGACGATACTGATACTGATGATACTGATGCTGATGATGATGATGATGATGATGATGGTGAGGGTGGTGACGATGATGACGATGTTGATGAGGATGATGATGATGATGCGGGCGATGATAATGATGATGATGGTGATTATGATGATGATGATGATGATGATGGTGGTGGTGGTGATGATGAGGATGTTGAGAGTGATGTTTATGGTGTTGGTGATGACGAGGCTGATGATGATCATGATATACACTGATGATGACGATGATGATGATGCCGGTGATCATGATGATTCTGATGGCGATGACGATGACGATTATGACTATGATAATGATGATGACGATGGTGATGATGTTGATGATGATGACCACGATGATAATGTTGATACGGATGGTAATGTTGATGATGCTGCTGATGACGATGACCACGATAATGATGATGATGACGATGATGATGATGACGACGACGATGACGATGACGATGCTGATGATGACGATTATGATGATGATGATGATGATAATGATGCTGATGATGATGAGGATGCTGATGATGTTGATGTTGATGATGTTGACCACGATGATGATGATGCTAATGATTATGTTGATAATGATGCTGATCACGATGACTACGATAATGATTATGATGATGATGATGATGACGATGATGATGATGGTGATGACGACGATGACGATGATGATGATGATGACGATGGCGATAATGATGATGACAATGATGATAGTAATGCTAATGATGGTGATGATGATGACGATGATGATGATACTGATGATTATGATGATGATGACGACGACGATGACGATGACGATGCTGATGATGATGATTATGATGATGATACTGATGATGATGATAATGTCGATTATGATGATGATGCTGATGATGTTGATGTTGATGATGCTGAATGCTGATGATGATGCTAATGATCATGTTGATGATGATGCTGATGACGATGACTACGATAATGATGATGATGACGATGATGATGATGATGATGATGATGGTGATGCCGACGATGACGATGACGATGACGATGACGATGATGATGATGATGATGATGATGATGATGATGGCGATGGTGATAATGATGGTGACAGTGATGATAGTGATGCTAATGATGGTGATGACGATGATGATGATGATGACGATGATGACGATCACGATGACGATGATGATGATGATGATGATGATGATGATGATGCTGATGATGATGATGATGATGATGTTGATGCTGCTGATGATGATGATGATGATGATGATGCTGATGATGATACTGATACTGATGATGATGATGGTCGTTCTCCGAACTTTAATCCTGAAGCGTAATGAGAGCCGCCAGATGCGTTCGCCCACAGGCTTTCACCTTCGCCGAGCAGTGGCACCACGTGCCACGAACCCCCCCACCCTCCACCTCCTCAAGATCATGATAAAGCAACGCGAGTTGCGGCAGGAGGAGGAAGGAGGAGTGGACGGAGGAGGGAGGAGGTGGAGGTGGAGGAAGAGGAGAAAGAGAAGGAGCAGGAGGAGGCGGAAGGGGGGGGAGGAGGAGGAGGAGGAGGGGAGGAGGAGGAGGAGGAGGAGGAGGAGGAGGAAGGAGGAAGGAGGAAGGAGGAAGGAGGAAGGAGGAAGGGTGGAGGATGAGTAGGAAGGGGGAGGAGGAGGGGCAGGAGGAGGAGGAGGAGGAGAAAGAGGAGGAAGGAGGAAGAGGAGGAGGAGAAGGAGGAAGAAGGAATGCTTCCTGGCGGTGCACTTCATCCTGAATCTTGACGAGTCCGCCCAGAGGGGGGGGTGGGAACGCGGGTCCCCGGCGGCCGCGGCAGGTCTACGACGCCCTGAAGACGTTGATCCAGCAGTGCCTTGGCTTGCTGTTGCTCATTTGCTCTTCCTCCTCGGCCTCTTGGTCCATCTCGTCATTCTAGCCCACCTCGTTCTCCTCATCCTCTTCGTCCTCTCGTGCTCCTCGTCCTCCTGGTCCTTCTCGCTCTCCTGGCCCACCTCGTCCTCATCCTCCTCGTCCTTCCGCATGCTCCTCGTCCTTCCGATCCTTCTCGTCTTCCTGGTACACCCCGTCGTCCTCTCTTCCTCCGCGTCCTTCTGCTCCAGCTCCTCCTACTGCTTCTTCTTCTGTTTCTCTTCCGCCTCTCAATGTTAAAATATCACGGATACGAGCGCTTGGATCTCCAGACGCGGCATTCGTCTCTTGTTCCTCTTTCCCCCCGTTCTAGTCATCTCTTTCCTCCACTCTTTCCCACTGCTGGCATATACCCCAGACGTCAGTAGTGATGCACGCGGTCACCTGCTGTTGTTGCTGTTGCTGTTGCTGCTGCTGCTCCTCCTCCTCCTGCTCCTCCTCCTCAGCCTCCTCGTTGGCCTCCTCCTCCTCCTCCTCCTCCTCCTCTTCCTCCACTTCCTCCTATTCCTCCTCTTCCTCCTCCTCCTGCTTCTCCTCCTCATCCTCCTCCTCACTCCTCATCCTTCTCCTCGACGTCCGCCTCTTCCTCCTCAGCATCAGCATCATCACCACCACCATCAGCAGCATCATCATCACCATCATCATCACCACCATCACCATCATCACCATCGACATCATCATCATCATCATCATCATCAGCAGCAGCATCAGCATCAGCATCATCATCATCATCATCATCGTCATCATCATCATCAGCATCATCATCTTCAGCATCAACATCATCATCGTCATCATCGTGATAATCTCGACATCATCATCAGCATCATCAACATCACCGTCATAATCATCAGCAGCATCAGCAGCATCGTCATCAGCATCATCAGCATCATCATCATCATCAGCAGCAGCAGCATCATCATCATCCCGCCTCCTCCTCCTCCTCCTCCTCCTTTACCTTCGGCCCTCCCCCCTCCCCTCCCGCTCTGGCAGGTACAGTCACCACGCGAACCAGTTCTCCATGGACCCCGCGGGGGGGGGCCGCGTGCTCGCGAGAGCTGCCGCGGCGGCCGCGCGCGCCGCATCTCATACCTTGCCCTCGCGCGCCGCCGCGCCGCAGCTGCTGCTGTCGATCCGAAGTCGCAGCAGGCCCCGGCCGTCTCGCGGCAGGGTTATGCAGGTGGAGTGCAGGCGGTCGTCCAGACGGCTCGTGGGGTCCGTGCCCTCGGGAAGACCCACGACGCGGAAGGCTGACGACGGCAAGGCAATCAAAATGGGCGGAGGGCCAGAGAGAGCTTCTCAGAAGGCTGGAGGTCAGAGGAGGAAAAGGTACCGATACTGCTACCTTGCCTCGATCCGAAGCCGCAGGAATGGCCTTTGAGAAGCCGAAGTTCAGAGCAGGAAAAGGTACCGATACTGCTACCCTTCCCTCGTTTTCCCCTTCTTGGACCTCCTGGGAGGCCCTCGTCGCTACCGTTAGACTCGCCTCGAAATTTTGGTCAGAACACACCCCGGAAGAGGTTCGGAGAGTAGCGGTATTGTTTTTTTGGTTTCTCCAGAAACCGCAGAGAGTTTCTCAAAAGGCTGGAGGGTCTCTGAGAAGCCTTGTCGTCGCCCTCGTCGTCGTCGTCTTTCTCGTCGTCCTCGCGTCCGTCGTCGTCCTCCCCGTCTTCCCCGTTGTTGCCCTCCTCTTCGTCCTCGCCGCCCTCGCGATCGCCGCCCCCGCGGCGGCCGCTTTGGCGACCGCCTTCTGTTGAAGAGGAAAAATTCGGGCATAAACATTAACTTTTGGAGCTCCTCGTGGATTTCTTGGATCTGTGCTGGGGCCGCCCTGGCGGCGCTTCCGGCGCCGTCCTTGGCGCGCTCCGCGAGACCGGGAGGGGGCTGCAGCGCAGATCCAAGAAGTCCGCGCGGACCTCCAACAGTTTATGTTTATGGCGTTGTTCGTTTCTCTAGTCTAATGCCTTGGCGCCCTGGGAACGCTCTCGGCGAGGCGCGGTTGCTGGAAAGCACCCCGGGGCTGGAACCCCCCCGAGAACCGTCGCCGGTCCCGAGGCGGGAGCTTCACCGTTCGGCGCGCCGCCGACGGGAAGGTCCGGGCACACTCGGGGCTGGTTCCTCCGTGGCCTTGCTTGTGCTCCTCCTCCTCTCCTCCTCCTCCTCATCATCCTCCTCCTCCTCCTATTTCTCCTATTCCTCCTATTCCTCCTATTCCTCCTATTCCTCCTCCTCCGCCTCCTCCTCGGATTCCTTCGAGAGTAGAGCTCCCGCACGAGCGCCTGGAGTCGGCGGCGAAATCCGAACCCTGTCCTCGCCGATCAACGATTCAGGCAGCTCGATGGGCGACGTGGGCAGGTTTCGGAATTCGTCGAGCACGTGGCGAAGTCCGAAGCTTACCCCCGCCTCCCATAGATTCGGGAGAATCCATGGTTGGTGGGGGCAGGGTTGAGACGGCGCCTCCTAGTCGTGCCCCTCCTCATCCGGCTTTTCCCGCTTCGGGCGGAGGCGGCGTTGCCACCCTGGGTTTCGTCAGCCTCCCCACTCCTTTTTTTCATCATATGCATTCTCCTCCTCCTGCTCCTCCTGCTCCTGCTCGAACGGGAGGTATCCTATATTTCGCTGGGTGCAGGAAGGGTTTTCCGCCTCCATTTTGGGAATCGCTTTCCGCGCCCGCTTCAATCGCGCCTTATACTATCAAACCGCCTTGTTGTGCGTATTGAAAAGTACCACATTCCCTACTGATCCTTTTTTCCCCAAGTAGGTTTGCCTCTACTTTTCCCGTTCCTTGGAGGTTCCTCGGGTTCTTCGGTCAACGCAAAGCACTGCCAAACAATGCCAAGCACTGCGCCCATGCAATAGGAAACTTTCGCCTCAGTGGGGTCGGTAGCGAAGCTTCGACTCCGTGGTCCACCACTGACGCCATGGCCCGCGTGGTTTCATCATCCCGCCATGCGTCGACCGCGCCGGCAGCCCACTCTCACTGCCATATTGAGATTCAACAAATTCAGCATTTTCACGGGCCTCGTTTGCGAGCTCTTCGAGTTCACCGCCTTGGACATTCCAGCCCGTCCAAGGGCTGGGTCGCTTTCGCGTTGATCTGCCAGTCTTTCGCGACGGGGGCGCCACGTTCGCACACCTCCGAGAACATCAGCTCCACAGGCCGCGCCTCCCCGCCACCCCTCTCGGCGCGCGCTCCCGGGCTTGACCAGACTTTGTTTGAAGAGTTCGCGGACCCAACGCCATCATTGCACTGGCATGTGGGTGTGGCCTCCGAACGCAGACAGTTGATTGGCATAACGTTCGCGTCTACGGTGTTGGCGAAGGATCTCGAGCTCCCTGTGACTGTGTTGCAGGAGCCCTGGGAGAAAGTGGCGACGGACACGACGCCTCCAATGCATCCCCTTGTGGGTGTCGCCGGAAGTGTTGTGACAAAGTTGATCGATGCGACGTAGTCATGGTCTGCTCTGGCGCAGCGTTCCGAGCTGTTGGTGACCACGTTGCCAGAGCCAGGGAATAATCAGGCAGTGAAGAGCGAGAAGATGTCTAAAAGGTCTGGCAGCCATGCGATCAGCACCTTGGGGACCTTTCCGTATTGCTCACGCACCCCCTGCTACCTGGCAGACCTGGGTCCCGATTCGTCATCTCCCTGCATATCACGCAGCTGGTGGTGCTCAGTATCGTGACACCTGACGCACGACGAGCATTCCCATGATTATGTTGCAGGATGATCCGGGCGCCGATCGCGCCGCGACCGCACGACGGAAGAACGCGCCCAATACGCTGACGAGGAAGAGCATGCCCAGGACATGCCCACGGTGGCTCCGAGGCAGCCTGCCCGAGCGTCGCCGCGGGCGGGTTCCAGGACCCCAGCCTTTCATCAACTCATGGAGGGGAGCCCACCCTGGAAGGAAGGCCATCGGAGTGGACATGCCACCAGTTGCTTCGCTTGCGTGGACGCTGGCGGCGGTGGGGGCGCCTCGCTGGCGCGGCGCCCCTGGGGCCCGAGCAGCAAGCTCGCGTGCGTTTCCAACGTTGGGCGCGGGGGGTCATGATATGGGCGGCGGCTGCGCCTCGCTTCGCCTCGCCGGCACGGCGCGCGAGCGCGCGGGCGAGTGGCCGCCGGCTGTCCTGTTCCAGGGAGATCATGCCAGCGGCGCCTCAGCGCCGCCCGCGACCTGCCCAGCGCGCAGCCTGGCCGCTCGGCGGGGCCAGCTCGGCGAGGAGGGCCGCGCCGAGGCGGCATCGGCCCTGAGTTTGAACCGATTGCCGCGAGAGCGCATCGACAACGTCTTCGTCAGGTTCGACATCCTCCGCGACTGGGCGCAGCAGGCGGGTCAACAAATGGTCGGCCACGCGGGGCCCAGCTACCTCTTGCTCCGCGCGGCGGGCGCGGCGAACATCCAACTCTCCGTGATCCTGCAGCGCTGCAGCGCGGGCTACCCCGCGAGCGCTCAGCAGCCTTCGCGCAAGACCAGCCGGCTGCGACGGCGTGGGCGCGTGGTCGAGGGCTCGCTGGGCAACCTCGCCTCGGCCGCTCACTCGACCCAGCGCCGCGCGTTCTTCGCGGGCGCGCCCGCGCGAGATCAGGCTCAGAGCGCCTGCGGCGCAACGGCCGGATCGAGCTGGGGCGGCGCGGGCCCCGCTGCCCTGGGGGCGGCGCCGAGCCCGCCCGCAGCGCCAGCCGCCGCTGCCCCGGGCAGGGCAGCCCCAGCACAGGCAGCGTTTCCCGCAGCAGGTGTCGAATCAGGCACCGACTCCGACGCCGTCGGCTCATTCGGCGGAGAGACTGCCGCCGACGATTCCGAGCTGCGCGACGTTCCAGTGGAACATCGCGGCGCACATCTTTTGAGCTCACGAACGCGCCGAGCCACGACGGCGCAGCCGCAGCGACCGCGCGACCGCTCGCCGCGCGCGGAGGGCCATCGAACGCAGGGGCACAGGCCGCGGCAGAGGCTGCAGCGCCTTCTTGGCTGACGTGTCCGAGAATGACCTCAGGGGGGCTCTCGCTGGTTTTCGGGGGGGCAAGGGCAAGGGGCGAGGGGGAAGGGGCGCTCGGGGCCGTCGGCGCGGGCTCAGGCCGCCGAGGCGACCAACTGGGCCCTGACGGCGCGCGTCGGAAGTGCCGCGAGTGCGACTCCGAGGAGCGCCTCGCACGCGACTGCCGCCGGCGCCGTCGGCAGGCGCGCGCTCTCTACCTCGCTGAGCGGTGACAGGAGTGCTCCTTCCCCTGCCGCCTGCGCCGTAAAATGCTTTTTTGGGGTTGGCGCGGCGGGGGGCCCAAAGTCGCCCTGGGGGAACGGGTGGAGGCTGTCCGACGCTCTCGGGACTTGCTGAAAGTTGTTTGGCATGTTCCGCCTCTTCTGTTTAGGATGTTAGCCAATGTGCGGACGTCCACCTTGGCGCGACGACGTCGCGCCAGGTGCCCGTGGGGGGAGTCATTACTGACGCCTCCTTCGCCCATTTATACAGCCACCCTTTTCACCTTGCAGGGTGTTGGTAGGGCATGGATCATGCGGCGGGGCTGTCTCAACAGCTGCGCATAGCTACTCAAGCAAAAGCAAGCGCGCCGGCCGGCCGGCCGGGCCTGCCATGCGCGCGCACAGATACATCATGTTTTGCTTAGAGCAGTTCCGCTGATTGCCATGTACTCACCAGTTCGTAGTGGGAGGCTAGCTTCTCGTGAGCTACTAGAAGAAGAAGATCCACAAGCATAACAACCTATCAATACCAAAACACGTTTGCCTAATATGACGATAGACAGGCAAAACACTGATAGGCTCATGTGGGAAGTTTTTCTTGGTGGAGGTTTGAGTATTTCGGGTGTTTTCGTCTGGTCCTCGGCGCTTCTCCAGCCTCGGGATGCGATCAGCAGGTGCAACTCGCCGCGAGCGAACCGGGAGTCCAGATCGTCCCGACAGGCCGCTGGAGGCCCGAGTTGCGGCCCGAAACCATTTGGATCGGGGGCAACGTCAGGGGGGGGATAAGCTTTGGGGAGGATGATACATCGACCCCCAATCGTCCACTGATCGTCGGTAGGGGCTCGATAGCCCACCCCGTCCAGGAACGTGCGGTTTCTATCGGCGATGTATCGCCGATTCCAGGTCGATGTTTCCTCCCCTGTGCCAGTCCCCGTATCGTTGCTGGGCCCCCCTTGGCGCCGCCTCTGGCGCGTCCCGCGCGCCGGTGGAAAGGTGTCCAGCGCCGGTCCAAGAAATCCGCGCGGGCCATCCAAAGTTGATGCTCGTGAATTCTTGTTCATCCTCTAGATCTGAGGGGGCGGGGGGTGGGGAGCGCAAAGAGGGGGGTCGAGGAGGAGCGAGAAAGAACAATGACGACGGCGACGATGACGATCATGATGGTGGTGGTGATGACGATGGTGGTGGTGATGCTGATGATAGTTATGGTGGTGATGGTGATGGTGGTAATGGTGATGGTGATGATGATGACGAGTGACGACGATGATCATGATGATGACGATGGCACTAAAGATGTCGATGACGATGATTACTGTGTTGATGATGATGGTGGTTACGGTGGTGTTGAGGATGATGATGATGATGATGATGATGATGATGATGATGATGATGAGGGTTAGGATGAGGATGAGGATGAGGATGAGGATGAGGATGAGGGAGATGATGCTGATAACGATGATGATGTTGATGATGATGATGATGACGATGGAGATGATTATGATGATGATGCTGGTGATGGTGATGACGAAGAAGATGACGAAAGCAGATGACGATGATGATGATGAGGAACATGATGGTGCTGCTGATTATGATACTGATGATGATGCTAATAATGATAAGGATGATGATAATCGTGATTGTGATGATGACGATGATGATGGTGATGATTATGATGATGGTGATGGTGATGGTGGCGATGGTGATGATGATGGTTATGCTGCTGATGATGGTGATGATGATGATAACGATGATGATGATGATGATGATGATGATGATGATGATGATGATGATGATGATGATGATGATAATGATGATGATGATGATGATGATGATGATGATGATGATGATGATGGTGATTATGATGATGATGGTGGTGGTGATGATGCTGATGATGATGCTGATGGGGATGGTGATGGTGATGGTAATGGTGATGTGTTCAAACGTACGGCTAAAAGCTCGATCATCCAAGCAATCGTGACAATAGAGGGAGCATCGCCTTCCTGCCCGGGCCAGGAGCTGATAGACGACGCGCGCGTGCCCATATTGCGCGTCCTGTTCGGCACCGGAGGCCCCAGGGCCGGGCCGCGTCCGCGGCGTGGTCTTCCTCTGGGCAGGTTGGGGGCAGGAGCAGCAGCACCAGGCCGAGTGAGGAGGAGGGAGCAGCAACGGCAGCAGCAGCAGCACCAGTTCGAAGGAAGAGGATGAAGGAGGAGGAAGACAGAGGACGGAGGACAAGAACTGAGGAGGAGGAGGAGGAGGAGGAGGAGGAGGAGGAGAATAAGGGGGTGGAGGAGGAGGAGGAAGAGAAAGAGGAGGAGGAGGAGGAGGAGAACGGAGGAGAACGAAAGAGGAGGAGGAGGAGGAAGAGGAAGAGGAAGCGGAAGAGGAGGAGGAGGAGGAGGAGAGAAAGAGGAGGAGGACCATTGTAAGCCCAAGAGTCATCAACGATGTTGGAATAGACCCTCCCTCCAAGCTCCCTCTTCATAGGCCCCTGTAATGAGAATGGAGGAGGAGGAAGAGGAAGAGGATGAAGAGGAGGAGGAGTACGACGAGGAGGAGAAGCAGGAGGAGGAGGAGGGAGAAGAACAAGACGAACAAACATAATAATACTACTACTAATAATAATAATAGTAGTAATACGAATACTAATAATAATAATAATAATAATAATACGAATAATAATAATAATATTAGCAATAAGTTGAAGAAGAAGACCAAGACGAATCAAAATAATAATACCAAGCAGAAAACGAAAATAATGATAAGAAGAAAACAACAGAGAAAGATAATAAGAAGAGGATGAGGAGAAGGGGGGGACGGAGGATGGAGGGCGGAAGAGGAGGAGGAGGAGGAGGAGGACAGTCGAGTAAGAGGAGAGGAGGAGGAGGAGGAGGAGGAGGAGGGGGTGGAGGGGGTGGAGGAGGGGGGGGAGGAGGAGAAGGAGGAGGAGTAGGAGGAGGAGGAATGACTGACTGACTGAAGACTCGCAAAATGTGTCAAGCATCCAACCACACTTATACAGCGATGGGATCACTCATCTACTTCACTTGGCGACCATTACTTCACAAAGCAGTCATCAGTGGCTACTTGCAGCGATGCTTGTTACGCGAGTGGGCACGATCATATACGTCCAGCCGAGACCTGATGCTACAACAATAGGTCATACCCATACTATCCACACGTACCTTGAGGAGTTGTGAGGAGTATAAACCCTACCTGCGCCGCTGCGACAACGGAATGCTCTCGCGTCCGCACGGGCTACTAAGGGGGCCATGCCACAATTGATCACACGCCGGGTGGTAAATGGGGCTGACGCGCTACTCGCTCACACGCCTGGTGCTGGGGACGCATGACAATGGGCAATAGCTACCTCTTCACGCGTCTACCAAACTATGGGTCATGACATAGTGTCATAAATACCCTGTCGGTTGTCAGTTGTATGAATCATACCATCGCGGTTCCAAGCAAAGACCCTACATTGATTGTCCGAGAACGCCAACAATCAGAGCACAGGCCGACTTTTCAGTACTATGCTTTTCTTCTCCCAGTTGTTGCGCAAACCGTGGGACAGTTTGGCTGAAATACGGCAGAGCATCCCACGCAGCTGTGCTGCGTACAGCACAGTCCAGCACTGTCTTACGCAGCACAGTCCCACGCAGCACTGTCCTACGCAGCGCTGTCTGATATAGCACCGCAACTACTACGGTGCGAGTTCTCCGACAACATGCAGCCTCATGCCCTGCATGGGAGCCCTGCGGAGCATACTTAGGGGAGAGACATCAGCTACTGGCAGCCAGGCACAAGCATCCTACAGTCAGACGCGGTTACAAAGGAGGTCACAACGAGACTAGCTACATACATTTCTGGATGCTGCAGATACAGCATCAGCTACGGAATCGATTAAGTATCCTTACCAGACCTCCCATCCGTAACCGCCAGGCTCAAACAGCGTTATTTCCCATGCTTGCTTTCGCCTGCCTCATTGGCACCGTGCTACCAGAGATAGCCCCATGCAGCCCTGCAACTAAGGATTCCTTTGCGGCACGCGTCGGTCAATGGGCTACAGCTACAATATTCGCCTACATCCCATCGATAGGCACACACACATGACGTACCCTCTCAAATTGGACGACCAGATCACGAAGGAAAGGCAGCCACTAATCGAGTCACAGTACAGAAAACTCTAAACAGTGCGCCGACGGAAGCACCGACGATTCACCACCACTACTCAAGACCCGCAGCAAATCACAACGACAGGATCTACTTCGCACAGCCACGCCCGCTGACTACGACCCCGACAACGCACAATCACTGCGCGAACAGGTCGAGATAGACAAACAGGACATGATCATGGACGACAGAATCGACGAGTACTACCTCTACATATCGCGATACCTGGGCAACGAATACATGCAAGTGCCCACCAAGAGAGGCTGGGCGAAGGCCAAGAAGGGTGACGCGCATTGCGATACCATACCTACCTGACATCAGCAGGGACTACTTCTTCCTTCTTTAAGAAAGGTTACGCACTGCTCTCAGCGGCTGGAAATAATACGGCCCCCACACCAACGTCGAGATAGATGGCCACAACGGCCCGCGCAGCTGGCATTCTACAGGAAAGCCAACTACCGACCAGACAACAAGCCGTTCAATGATGAGGAGGACCCCCCACGCCATGCAAGAAGAGCCCAGCTCATCTTTGCCTCGCGGCTGCCGCGAGCACCCCGTCACCCCGCGCCCGCGCCAGTCGCGGCCCTGCGCCCCGCCAATCGCGCCACGCACTTCGGCGGCAATCCAACGTGCATTCACCCGCAGCCACCCGTGGTCTTACCGCGCCCGCGAGGGAGACAGCCCGGGCGTTCGGCCCAACGCCATTGGAGGGTCCCGGATGCCACCGGATGCGCGCGGGGTAGGATCACGGATCGCAGCAGGTGGTGCATTTTTTCTAGCAGCCTTGAAGCTCATGAGAACCTTTGTCCGCGCTAGGGCCCCTTTCGTGCTCGAGCATCCGATCAGCAGTATAATGCGGCATGCGCCACAGTTGAAACACTTGATGACAGTAGGCAGTATGCACGTCCGTGTTTGTGATCAGTGTCAGTTCGGAGTCCGTTGGAGGAAACGCACCAAGCTGTTGTTTTTCGGTGTCGACCCTCAGGATACCCTAGAGCTGGAGAGGCGCTGACGCAGTTTTGGAGGGATTTGCTCGGTCTCGGGGAAACCGCGCGTCGTCCTCGAGGGCAAGGCCCCGCCCGGTGCCACGCGGGCATCCCTCGCAGCCTCCTTCCCGCCGAAATTAGCAGATTGCATGGTAAACTGTCTGCTCAGCCGCCACAGGGGCTTAGAAGCGGCTAATTTGTTTGGCCCTCCCCACCCACCCAGTGAACACTTTGGGATGGTGGGCTTTATAGGCGTCTGTAAGCTTCGCCAAGACGAGTGGCACGTGGTAGCAAAAATCGTTCCGCACCGAAGCCAGCAGCTAACCTGTCAGTGCGTGCACGGGAAGGTTGAGAGCGAAATGACTTGAAGCATTTGGTCAGAGCGAACCCGTTCAAACTGGGGGGACCTGGGACTCCGTAGTCTCTGTTCGGCTCCCGCCCTCCCTTTCTTTCCCCTCTCGCTCGCCTTAATTCGCCCGGGCTTTCTATGCTAAGCTTCGCCAAGACGAGTGGCACGTGGTAGCAAAAGCGTCCCGCACCTAATGCAGCAGCTAACATCTGTGTGCATATATTTATATATATATACTCGGTGGGAGGACCACGGAACTTTCACGGAACTCTCTATAACAGTTTAATGTACAGCCGCCACAGGGATCGTAAACGACCCCCCACACACACAAAATCTCTACAGAACCCTCACTGATTGCTCCGCCATATATATATATATATATATACACATGTATTACAGATGTCCATATGCAGCGTATATACGCAGCGCTCTCCCGGGATGTCGACTCCAGGGAGGGTCAGGGCGGGCCGATGTCGGGATGATGGCGTATGTATACGCAGCGCTCTCCTGGGGTTTCGGCTCCGGGGAGGACCAGGGCGGGCCGATGTCGGGGTGATGGCGACGACGGGGGGTGGGTGTAGGAGCCGGGGGAGGAAAAGAGCGGCAATCGTGGAAGGGCTGTTCGCATTGGGGCCATCTTGGGGGCATTTTGGGCCGTCCGAGCTGTCGGAAGATCGAGAAAGATCTTTCCTCCTCTATCTTCCTCTTCTGAAGCCCTGTTGAAGCTGCTGATGCCGCTCCTCTAGCTCCTGCCCCAGTTTGTGATGGAATCGTTCGGGGTTTTCCTCCTCCTCCTCCTCCTGGAGGAGGAAGAAGGAGGAGGAGGAGGAAGAGGAGGAGGAGGAGGAGGAGCAGGAGCAGGAGCAGGAGCAGGAGCAGGAGGAGGATGGGGGAGGGCGAGGGGGGAGGGGAGGGAAGGACCCCCCCCAGGCTCAATTAAGTGGAGCGCCCCTATGCGAGGCGCTCGATGCGCATTCGCGGCGGGCTTGGCTCGCGCTATGCAAGAAGGGGGAGGGGGAGGAGGAGGAGGAGGAGGAGGAGGAAGGGGAGGAGGAGGAGGAGGAGCAGGAGCAGGAGGAGGAGGAGCGGGAGGATTCGGCCTCCTCCTCCTCCTCCTCCTCCAAGGGGGTGATGATGATGATGATGATGATGATGATGATGATGGTGATGGTGATGGTGATGGTGATGGTGATGGTGATGGTGATGGTGACGATGATAGTGATGATGATGATGATGATGATGATGATGATGGCGGTGATGATGACGATGGTGATAATGGTGACGAAGATGCTGATGATGATGATGCTGTTGTTGATGTTGATGCTGATGATATTGTTGATGATGTTGCTGCTGATGATGATACTGACTATGTTGATGAAGCTGAACATGAAGATTATGACGATGCTGATGCTGATGACGATGATGATGATGATGATGATGATGGTGATGATGATGCTGCTGCTGCTGCTGCTGGTCGCCGATGTTGATGATGCTGCTGCTGATGATGATGATGATGATGATGATGGTGAACATGATTTTGATGATGCTGCTGATGATGATGAT